GGAGTATTAGCCGGTGCAGAAAGTTTGGCATCTCCTATTTTCTGTCTAAAGCCTTCTATTTTATCACTGAAAAAATTCATGAAGTCATCACTACTAATTTGATGTGGAACAGTTTGTTTCAAGGATAACCGATTATTTGCTAATTTAGAGATGGTGTTAAATAAAAATCTAGGATTGTTATGATTATTTTCTATCAGTTTGCGCAGGTGCTCGGTCCTGGCAGATTTTAGAGCCCTCCTATAGCTGGACATACTGTCTTTGTACGCAATTCTAAAGACCTCTAAATAAATTTTTTTTCCATTTACGTTCCAGGGCGCGGGTTGCTGTTTTGAGCGCACGAGTATAACTATTATACCATGGTGTAGTTTTAATCTCTCTAGCCTTTTTTAATTTGATGGGTGCCACAGTATTTAGTGTGCTAGTAAAGATGGCATCCATACCGCTGGTTACTAAATCAAGATCATTTGAGTTTGCGGGTGCATTACGAAATAGAGAAAGATCAGGTATGTTATTTATAAATTCATCTTTGGTTGACGGAACAATAGTTCTACTAGGGCGGAGTATTGGAGCGGGTTTGCTAATTTCAGGTAAACACAGCTTATATAGTAAGAGGTAGTGATCTGTAATATCATCACTTTGTGATATAATGTCTACGTCAGTAACCTCGACTCTATAAGACAGAATTAGATCTAATGTATGCTTTAAGCGATGGGTTGGACCCACAACGTTTTGCTTTATCCCAAGTGAGTGTATTAAATCCATAAACGCGAGCCCTAATGTATCGTTAGCGTCATCTATGTGGATGTTAAAGTCACCTACAATTAGCATTTTATCAGTTTTGACTAGTAAGTCAGAAATAAAATTAGAAAATTCTTTTAGAAAATTGACATAGGGCCCGGAGGGTCTATATATGGTGATTAAAGCGAGAGATAACATAGGTTTTTGCATAGAATCTGGAAGCTGAACATTAAGCGCTAATACTTCAAAGGAGCGAAACATAAGTCCGTTTCTCTTATTAACATTAAGGAAATCACTAAAGATTGATGCAACTCCACCACCACGACCAGTTTGACGAGCCTCATGTTTATATAAGAATCCTGGAGGAGTTGCTTCATTTAAGCTAATATAGTCATTTTGTTTCAGCCAGGTTTCAGTGAGACAGAGTGCATTAAGATTGTTTTCTGTTATTATTTCATTTATGATAAGTGCTTTAGGTGCAAGTAACCTGAAGTTTAGGAGACCAAGCTTTACGAAATTTGTATTTTCACTTTTAACCAGTTTTTCTGGTTTGATTCTTAATAGATTTTTTTCTGGAGCACACAGTACGTTTATTTCTTAATCTAATAATACGAGAAACAGACACAGTCTCTATAGGATTCGCCATATATGCATTACTGATGTTTGAGCGGGACGAACAAGAGTCTAGGTGGCCATAATGTGAATTTTGTACATTTTTACCTGCTAGTCAGATGGTGCGAAGTAATCTGGAGATGTTGTCCGACAGGAGTTCAGCTCTGGCTCGACTGGGGTGCAAGCCGTCAGCACGGAAGAGCCTAGGACGCTCCCAGAAAAGATTCCAGTTATTAGCAAAGAGCAATTTCTGTTCTTTACACCATGTTAATAGCCATTCATTCAGAGCTAAAAGTCTACTGAACCTTTCATTTCCTCGGCGGTAGGTAGGAAGCGGCCCAGAACTATGATCTGCGTGGCGGGCGAGGTGCGTCGAACCGTCTCGTCAGGCTCCTGAAGTCCTTTTTCATGATCTCCGACTGCCGGAGCCCGGTGTCATTTGTCCCCACGTGAAAGACAACGGCACCAGGGCTCTCGGCAGCGCCCAGGGTAGTTGGAATCTGTGTAGAAATATTTCTTACACGGGCACCAGGAAAACAGAAAGTAAGTACTTTATTACCTTTTGAGGAGGCGGCACGGATGTGACGAACGATCGAGTCACCGATGATGGCCACATCGGGACCCGTCTCGCGAAGAGGGGAGAAGCGGTTCTCCGTGGAGATTTCGAACACGGGAGGAGGAGACATTCTGCCCTGGGATCTGGCAAGTACCTTACGCGGCTGCACCCAGGTGTTGGCGTGAAGGACGCCTATCCGAGCCGCGCTCCGGGTGCGCTGGACCTGGACAGAGAAGGACGCGGGGTTGAGGTAGAGGGAGTGATGTGGTTGTAATTTCCACTTACCTTATATGACGAGGCGGCCTTAGCGTTAGGCACAACAAGCAACGCCCGTTGTTTCTGCAGCCGCGTCCGCCTCACCGTAAGCGCACGGATCTGGGACTCCACTTCTTCCAGCTCCAGCTCAAACGCCTCCATCGATGCTTCTCCTGCACACAATGACAGAGACACAAGTGACATTTTACGGGGTAAAGAGCAAGGCCAGTAAGCCAAAAGTGTATGGTAAAAGAGGTTGGTAGCTTTAGCTGACCAGCGGTGCTAGCAGGCTAAAGCTACAAACAACAGGCGGATGCTCGAGGGACAGACCGTTTTAAGCAGATTTGTTTGTATAAATGTATTAAGGGTTTGTTCACCCAAGTGGGAGAGACAAATACTTAGTGAATGAGGAAGAATTTCATGATTAAGATATAAATAGCGAGTAAATAGCGAGTCCAAACTTCAAGCACACGCAGTAGGCGACCGAACGGAGACAGTGACGTCAGTGACGTCACTCGAGCATGAAATCATCTGTTGAACTGCACTTCAATCATCACAAATCTTGAAGAAGACTTATTGGAACCCACATGGACTCAAGATTCTGACAGAACTCAGTCAAGTTTGGTGAAAGAAAAATAATGGTTTGGGGTTACATTCAGTATGAGGGCATTTGGGAGATCTGCAGAGTGGATGGCAACATCAACAGCCTGAGGTATCAAGACATCTGTGCCCATTGCATTACAAACCACAGGAAAAAGGTAATTTTTTTAGCAGGTTAGGGCTCTCACTTCAGCCTCTGCATCAAATTTCCTGAAAGCAAAAAAGCTCAAGGTGCTCCAGGATTGTCCAGAACAGTCACCAGATATGAACATTATTAAGCATGTTTGGAGTCAGATGGAGGAGGTGACATTGAAGATGAATCCAAAGAATCTTGAAGAAGTCCTGTGATAGGATTCCTGCAAGCACGCTTTCTTTGCCTGATGACTTTATTAATAAGTTATTTAAGTCATTGCAGAGATGGATGGATGCAGTCATCCAGGTTTATGGGAGTCATACACAATATTAATACTTTGACTTTATATTCTATACTGTACATTATTTCTCTTAAGTGACAAGATTTTTGTCTAAGCAAAGTCAGAGTTGTTTATGAGTTTCTTTTCTTTGTTGAACACAAAATATAATATTTTGTATGTTAGCTAGACACCTAACCATTGTCTTCCATAGTATTCTTATTTATTTTTTTACTATGGAAGTCAATGGTTATCAGTGTTGTGGGTAATGGGAGTTGCTTAATTTTACTTTAGTAATTAACAAGTAAAGTAACGCATTACTAAAATGAGGTGTAGTAATGTGCATTAAACGTATGTAATAATATTTAAGTTACTTTTTTGAAAATGTAATGCGAGTTAATTTTTAGTTTAAAAAAATGCTATATTAAAATTAAAGTGTTCACAATGAATCAGGCAGCCAACGAGAGAATGTATTCATTATGTTGAACGCATCAAGGAAAAGGGGATCGTCTCAATGGACAATGATTTTACTTTAGAAAATAGTACAAAGTAGCAAACACATTGTTTAAAACTTCTATTAATCTGAATATACGCCATGTATAGCTCTGGGGTCGGAAATTCCTAAGATAACATTATCCTATAAAATATATGTTTTGATGTGTTTTTTAATGGTAAATGAAGGTTATGCAATGTGTTGTTAATTGCAGAACTCCTCTATTAAAAATACAGGTTCTGAAATAGATCAAGCTTTAGCCAGGTGATAAAAAGTAATGCAAAAGTAACTCAAAAGTACCGTAACACATTACTTACTACAAAAACTAAGTAACGCAACTTTCTTCAAACTATCTTCTTTTTTGTGCAACAGCATGAAGGAACTCCTAATGGTTTAGAACCACTTGATGGGGAGTAAATAGTGAGGTAATGTTCATTTTAGAGTGAACTGTTTTTTTTTTTTAATACAAGACAATACTTATTACAAACAAAACAAAACAAAAACTTTTTGATTGAGTTTATTGTCTAGGTTCTATTTATATCTAAATAATGTATGTGCACACCTGATTGGTAATTAATGTCACATGCACTGTAAAATTATTATAATTTCCACAGAATATTTTTACAAAAATAAGTTTATTTTAGAAATTGCAAACAAAGCAGTACCTGATTGTTACCACGTGCAACGTGTGCCTGAATGATAGATCAGCCTCTTTGATTGTTCCTGGAATCACAGTTAATAGATTTAAGGGACAAGTTTATAGTTTGATTCATTTAGACTTAAAATCAGAGATTAGTGCTTCTACATCATTCACCTACTATTTCCCTCTGATTTTAAGAATAGGGTATTGGTAAGGATTTAGTTTGGATTATATTTTCGGACAGAAATTATGTTCCAGAATGACTAAACTCATTCTGCAAAATCAGGACATGGAGTGATGAGATTACTTTTGCATTTGTATTCATCTTCCGTCATATACAAAAAGCTCACTGCAGATGCACAGTTATGATACGAGTGTGATTTGTACCAGGGTAATATCCGGTCTGGCTTTCATTGCAAAATGTCGATGGTGCAGATGGTACAACCTTTCCCTCCCAGAGGAGTACAGCTGTGAGGAAGTCTGGAGAAAACACAGCAGAAATGTTATTTTGTCAGGTGTGGAGTGAGTGGCCACACGACTGGTTTGTTTAGCAGGCTGTGACAGATGCAGCACATCAGGGCCAGATTGTTATTTGAGATATTGTGAATATTGTTGATGCTTGAATGATGGCAGCATATCATGTGTTATTAAAATACTTTTGGTGTACTAATCGAATGCGTTATCTTGTGCTTACAGATGAGGTTTGTAAGGAACGTGACATCCTGGCGAGAAATGAAGCCAGGGTTCTACCACGGCCATGTCTCCTACCTAGATTTCACAAAGTGAGTTCTGCTGTATTTATGCAAAAGTTGACACTAAAAAGTGGAAGCACTTGTGCTGCACTTGAGTGTAGTGATTATGACTCTAGTCATTGGAGAGTAAATTCACGGTATCAGGCAGATGCTTAACTTTTTAAGTGCTTCTGCACTCTAGTGGTTGATAATGGAACAGACCTTAAGTCACTCAAAAATGACTTGCTGCTTGTTCAAACTACCTATTTAAATTGAGTTGAAGCAACATAATTAAGTTTTTTTTTCAATTGTTTTATGTCTAATCCACTTAAATTTGTAAAAGTGATTAAGTTACCTTAATGTATTTGTGTTGGGACAACGTGTAAATACAAAATATCTGTAAATACATTTATCTTTTTTGGAGATAAATTGATGTGTTATTATCAAAAAACCTTTTGATTAAAGATTTTGGTTTTGAATAATAATAGTTTTTTTCTTGCAAATGCAAAAAGGGTTTTTTGTGCAAAATAGAATTAATAATAATTATAATAATAATAATGACTATTTAAGAAAATAATATAAAATAATTAACAAACTATTTATTTTCTGTTGACATTAGAATAATATTAAAATGTTATTCACAACTGCTCCAAACTGGTGGTTAAAATTGAACATGCACTTATTCTAATATTTATTTATTTAGTCTTGAAATCACACTGAATACTTTACAATTATTTGGAACTCATGTGGCTATGTTGTTCAAGAAACACATATTTCGAATGGTTAAGCACCTCTTGAAAACAAAATTACAAGGATTTTAAAATGATTATTACACGTTTAATGTATTAATGACACCTTTGCAGAGTTTATTCTTCTCATTTGTCATTAAAGCAAAAGATAAGGCAAAAACCACTCACTCAGATTGTTATTCTAATAATCACATTTTTTATTGACAAACAATTCATTAGTTAGTAATAAATACCTTCACATTGTTGTTTAATAATATAATATAATATAATATAATATAACATCATAAAACAATCGCCATTGTTCCCTAAATACTGTAGGTTTGGAGTTAAGGGGAAGCCAGTATACATCAACATCGTACGGGATCCCATTGAAAGATTGGTGTCCTACTACTATTTCCTTCGATTTGGAGATGACTATCGACCAGGTCTCCGACGGAGAAAGCAAGGAGACAAAAAGGTGTGTATAAATATTTGATATTTCTCTTTCAAAATTTCACAAAGCCTTTAATGTAAGAAATAACAACTCACATTCTGATTAAATGTGTCTGATTCTGACCACATTCATGATTAAATGTGTGCAATAAAGTATGTATCTGTGTTTTAGACATTTGATGAGTGTGTGTCATCTGGAGGCTCAGATTGTGCTCCTGAGAAGCTTTGGTTACAGATCCCCTTCTTCTGTGGCCATTACTCTGAGTGCTGGTGGGTAAAATACACCGTCTGCAAACTGTTTTTAACTTGAGGCTTTTCTCGTTAGACTCATTGATTGGGTCACGCTATATACTGATTTGTTTTTAAAACTTTTAAGAGCTGGAAATGATATGTGTGTGTGTTTGTGCAGGAATGTTGGCAGCAAGTGGGCTCTGGAACAGGCTAAGTATAATCTGGTGAACGAGTATCTGCTGGTTGGAGTGACGGAGGAGCTTGAGGATTTCATCATGATGCTGGAAGCTGCTCTGCCACGCTTTTTCAGAGGAGCAACTGAGCTCTACCGCACAGGTAATGTTTTTATTTCATTAGAAGTCATTTAAATATGCTGATTTGATAATAACATAATATTCATCAATATTACTTGATACTTTTGTGGAAACCATGATAAATGAGAACCGAGAGTTGACTCTGGTGAAATATAACTGAACAAAGGACTCCTTAGTAGCCTTTCAGGCAGGCAGTTTTCAGTTTTTGCTAGCCCTAAATAAATTAAGTGGCCTGAATTGAAAAGACATTATTTAATAAATAGAAAAACTAATACACACATTTTTAAATAAAAAATAAATTAATTAATTAAAATGACATTTATTCATTATAGGGTACATATATATTTTTCACTTACCACATTTTATATATTATTTAATTAATTTATTATTTATAAAAAAAAACATGTATATGTATATGTATATATATATATATATATATATATATCAGTTCTTCCATTTCTCTTTAGGCCAGTTCTTGAAAATAGATTAGCTTTACACAGATGTCTTTTAACTGTCACAGTACTTACAGGTAACTTCAGATTGTCTTTGATCATCCTGCAGCTGATCATTGGCTGAGCCTTTGCCATTCTGATTACTCTTCGATCCATTTTATTGGTTGTGTTCCATTTTCTTCCACGTCTCTATGGTTTTGCCCTCCATTTTAAGGCATTGGAGATCATTTTAAGTGAACAGCCGATATTTTTGCACCTCTATATAGGTTTCCCCTCTCCAATCAACTTTTCAATCAAAGTACGCTGTTCTTATGAACAATGTCTTAAACGACCCAATTGCCTCAGGCTTTGAAACGCATGTTCAACAAGATCACAAATTAATGACCTCACTGATTGACTGCCACACTGCTTTTTTTTTAACACACCCTTTTCAACTAATTGCCCAATTTTACAGCCCTAAGTGAATCTACTGCACCTACTGGTAACTTGTTTGCCATGTATCAATAAAAAATAAACTAAAAACCTGGTTAATTCTGGTTAGTCACATTGTACTGCTATTATTTTGAACAATACTGTAGGTATAGTGCCTATTTTAAAAAATGTGCATCCATGATGGACACTTTTTCTGGAATATTATGAATGTCTTTATAGTTTGTGTGGTGTATAAATGTTGTTTATCATCTTTGAGGTTTTATTTTTCAAATTTTAAGACCCAAAGTTAAATTTTATGTCTTGATTTGGAATAATTGGAATTTCAAAGGGTGTCCTAAATTTTTTCACATTACTGTATGTGTATATGTGCAGGTAAGAAGTCTCACTTGAGGAAAACGAGTGAAAAGAAGCCTCCCACTAAAGAGTCCATCTCGAAGCTTCAGCAGTCCAACATCTGGAAGATGGAGAACGAGTTCTATGAGTTTGCTCTGGAACAGTTTCAGTTTGTGCGAGCTCACAGTGTCAGAGAAAAAGACGGCGAGCTTTACCTGCTTTCTCAGAACTTTTTTTACGAGAAAATCTATCCAAAAGTAAACTAGTGCAGACATTGGCATAGTCCAAGTATCATCCGGCCCGTTCAAGTGCTATCATGTCACGTTCACATGGAAAAGTACAAAGATGCCTGAAAGTCCTGCACTTGAGGATTTTGGAACACGTTTTTTTTTTTTTTTTGAAGGAACTTACTGTGAACTCTGGTATCAAGGAACTCTTAAGTCCATTGTCTTTTTAATGAACTTGTGACATCAATAAAAAAATCACAATTTATCATGCCTTCCAAAAGATCACGACAGGACCTCTTTGGCCACCAATCACTGTTGTAAAAATTCAATTTTGAACAGGGTCAAAAGGATAGTGCTTTTTGTACCAGACATTTGGTACATTACGAGCACTTCTTTATTTTACTACTAAATGTGGTTTTGTGAATTCTTAACACTTTCTTGCATTGTGTATATTCATTTTTAATTGAATGCCATGAACAGTGTTTGCAGACTTTAGTAAAGGTATTGTAGCCAGAAGATAGAAAGTGGTTTAAACACATGCACACACGCACACACACACACATAAACACACACTCAAAAAAACACAGATTTCATATATGTACAAATTGTATGTATATTTTATGTATTTGGATCAAATGGTTCAAAGTCTTGAAAATAGTTATTTAGAAAATACACATCTTTTTTTTTTTTTTTTGGTGGGGGGAGAGGGGGGGATTCCACTGGTGCTTGCTTTTTCTATTCTCGTTTTTATTTTTTATCACGTTTTGAAGACTAAAATAACGAAGCAGTGGGAACATTGATATCTAAGACAAACTTTCCAGTACAGAGAATATTTTGACCAGGTCAAAGACCATTAGATCTGGCCTTTTTGATTGTGTTTTTGGAATCGTAACAACAGGAACTGTATTACTTTGAAGCGTAGTAGTATTGGCTTAATATAACTACATCAGACTACTACCCTGTTCGATGGGTTAAAGATACGAAAGAAAGGCTCAAACCAACATTAGTTGTACTTTAAATAGTGCCTTCATGAATCATTCATCCCATACTGGCTCTTGCTGGTTTTCAGATTATTTCAGCAATGTCTGTATTAAAATTTCTTTTTTTAATAATAGTAATAATCAAAAAACTGCCATCTTTCTTTTATAATAGTACTTTTTTTTTCCTTTTATATACATTAGTCTCTAGGCATTTCAAATAAAATTTGCTGTCTGTAAGAACATGTGGTTTTCAGGTTTCATTTATTTGACAAAACATCATTCAATCCAGGATGTGCTTTAAGTATGTATGCTTTTTGGGAAGAAAAATTGTTGACTGTTTTATTGTTATTATTAGTATTATTTTGAACTAATCCTATAATCGCTGAGATTAAACCCAAGATGCAAAAACACTGCAATTTATGGCATTTTAAAACGCCCTTTGAATTAAAAAGAAAATTACATATACACACACACACACACACACACACACACACACACACACACAAACACATACTCATTTGAGGGAAGCATGCTGAAAGGCAGAGGAATGCGCTCTCTCACAGCTCGCGACATCATCTGTCATTTTCTGAGTACATTTACATAAGACACCAAAACTATGATTTTAATATGATTAGGATAATACTCTTATTAACAGTCTACTATGCAAGCAGCGATTTTTTAATACCTTAAAGGACCACCGAGTCACGAAATGGGAAGGTTTTTTCTTCCGTTCGCCATGCGGTATCAAATTCCATTAAAACAGACATTAAACATTAATTGTTTTATACTGAAACTTGCCTTCAAAAAGCGCTTCCTTGGTCTTATTCAAATTTCTTTGCACCTTAAACACACGTCGACCACAACAGGAAATAACAAAAAAAAACTGCACCTGCGTTAATTGCGTAAAATTATTATTTTTTAACCGCATGCGTTAACGCACTAATTTTGACAGCACTATATATATATATATATATATATATATATATATATATATATACACTTATACACTTTTGAGTTGGTATATATATATATATATATATACCTTAGATCGGGAGGTAATGTCTGATTCCGATCGAGATCGCGTGATCGGGCCTGATTTCTGATCATGTGTTCTTGGAAGGAAATTGATATATGTTTGTTTGTGTGCAACCCTGGAACACAAAAACACTCTTGTTGCACAAATATGTCAGGAAGGGACGAACAGGCTCATATGATCGATTCACATCAATGGTATGGCCGTTGAGCCTGTCCCATCCTTTAAGTTCCTCGGTACCCACATCTCAAAGCACCTGTCCTTGGCCACCAACATTTCCAGCCTGGTCAAGAAGGCTCTTTTTCTTAAGGCAACTAAGATCTTGTGCATCTAAAGTTAAATGTTTCATCAATTTATTTTGTAATTTCCTGCTATAGATGTATCAATGTTTAATGTTTGATTAGTAAATCGATAAAAAATCTTATTTATTCCACATTCAGGTGAGTTATTTACATTTACATTTACATTTAGTCATTTAGCAGACGCTTTTATCCAAAGCGACTTACAAATGAGGACAAGGAAGCAATTTACACAACTAAGAGCAACAATGAATAAGTACTAAAGGCAAGTTTCAGGTCTGTAAAGTCTAAGAAGGGAAGTATTAGTAGTATTAGTTTTTTTTTTTTTTTGTACAGTTAGTGTGATATTCAAAGAGGCAATTGCAGATTAGGAAGTGAAGTGGAGACTAAACAGTTGAGTTTTTAGTCGTTTCTTGAAAGTAGCGAGTGACTCTGCTGTTCTGATGCAGTTAGGGAGTTCATTCCACCAACTAGGCAGATTGAGCGTGAGCGTTTGCGAAAGTGATTTCTTCCCTCTTTGGGATGAAACCACGAGGCGACGTTCATTCACAGAACGCAAGTTTCTGGAGGGCACATAGATCTGCAGAAGTGAGAGCAGATAAGAAGGAGCTAGGCCAGAAGTCACTTTGTAGGCAAACATCAGAGCTTTGAATTTGATGCGAGCAGCAACTGGCAGCCAGTGCAAACGGACTAGCAGCGGAGTGACATGTGCTCGTTTAGGTTCATTGAAGACCACTCGTGCTGCTGCGTTCTGGAGCAGTTGAAGAGGCTTGATAGAGTTAGCTGGAAGCCCAGCTAGTAGAGAGCTGCAGTAATCCAGTTTGGAGAGAACAAGAGCTTGAACAAGGAGTTGAGCTGCATGTTCAGATAAGAAGGGTCGGATCTTTCTGATGTTATAGAGTGCGAATCTGCACGATCGAGCAGTTCTAGAAATGTGGTCAGAGAAGTTTAGTTGGTCATCAATCGTTACTCCAAGGCTTTTCACCATTTTGGATGCAGTAATGGTTGCCCCATCCATCTGGATTGAAAAGTTATGGTGTAGAGTCGAGTTGGCAGAAACTACAAGCATTTCCGTTTTTGCGAGGTTCAGCTGAAGATGATGATCTTTCATCCAGTGTGAAATATCCAACAGGCAGGCTGAGATACGAGCTGGAACCGAGGGATCATCAAGATGAAAAGAGAGGTATAGCTGGGTATCATCAGCATAGCAGTGGTAGGAGAATCCATGTCTCTGAATGACTGGTCCTAGAGATGATGTGTAGATGGAGAAGAGAAGTGGCCCAAGAACAGAGCCTTGAGGTACCCCAGTGTTTAGATGCTGTAGGTTGGACACCTCTCCCCTCCAAGACACCCTGAATGACCTGTCAGAGAGGTAAGATCTGAACCATTGTATAACAGTGCCCGCAACGCCCAGTGACTCGAGCGTAGATAGCAGGATCTGGTGGTTGACAGTGTCAAAAGCAGCTGACAAGTCCAGCAAAATGAGGACTGATGATTTAGAGTCTGCTTTAGCCAGTCTGAGATCCTCCACGACCGAGAGCAGTGCAGTCTCAGTTGAGTGGCCTTTCTTAAAGCCGGATTGCTTGTTGTCCATGAGATTGTTTTGAGTAAGAAAGTCCAGGACTTGATTGAACACTACTTTCTCCAGAATCTTGGCCATGAATGGAAGCAGGGATACTGGTCTGTAGTTTTCAAGTAGCGTATGGTCCAGGTTGGGTTTCTTTAGCAGTGGGGTTACCCTAGCTTGCTTAAAGGGGTGGTCCAGAATGTTATTTTTAAGGCTTGGTTGTGTTAATAAGATGCAAAGCAATGTGTGCTCATGTTTAACTTGAAGGAAATCGTGTTATTTTTTCATAAATCTCACTTTGATTATACACAGCTACTCAGCTAACATGAAAACGACTGTCATATTTCCTAGTTCCTCTAAAAGGCCCACCCTCAAGTGACTCTGATTGGTCATCATCATAATATGCTGTGATACGCCGATCGGCTTCACGTCACGCCCTGACAAGCACGCGCGTTTTGTGTAAACAGTCAGTCAGTCAGTCAGTCAACACGTGTCTGTAACGAGTGAAAATGGGATGCGGCTCCTTTAACTGTTTCTGTGCCTTTTAGTGTGTTTATGCGTGTATACGATGAAGTATCTGTAACACGAGAAGCGCATGTGCGCGGGAGAGATTTTTATTGTTCTTTTTCTCTCATGCTCGGATTAAGTTATTTTCTGTGGTGACAGAATAAAGCACAAGATGTGAGATGAGACCTTTGTGAGCCTGGATTGATTTGTTTTTGATGTTACACTCCAGTTGGGAAATCATTGCTGTATTTTTTTTAAATCAATGCGTTACAGGACGTCTTTCATGCATATGCGGAATATGCCTGTGTAAGTAACATGAATCGTTCACATATCTTTTGCGACTTTATTGTCCGAGTTGTAAAACGCATAGCATAGCTGCCTATAGAGAGAAATTCTGCCGTCTCACACAGAGAGACGCAGGTGCTGGCCAAGAGTGCGTGTATGTGTATGTGTGTGTGTGCGTTTACAGCCGTTTGATAAATATAGATTTGTAACGTTAGCTAAGTCGTTAGCGGTTACCATAATTTCCCGTTGTTTACATCTTTGCTACAACACACCGTTAAAGTTAGACACTGTACATGTCATGATCAATTTTAACAAATAAAAACACTTACAGGTCATGACTCAGAGTTCACAGCGTCTCCTTGCTCCTTCTTTGAGGAGATTTTAACTGAATCCAGCACTGAACTGGGAGAGATTCTGGAAGCTGTGTTTTGTCAAATCATGCTTGCTATGTATTTTATAGTTCTCTGGAACATAATTAATATTGAACTGTAAGCACTTCTGTGTTTGGGTCGTGTCATTTGGAAGCCCAACAACAGAAACAGAACAGCTCTGTGGAAACAGCAGGATGGCATTTCTCTCTCTGCAGTAACGTTACAGCGCCTCTGGCCACGGCCTTTACCTGCGCAGTGTGGGATGCGCAATAACGAACTTTTGTGATCTCACAGGGGGCGGAAGTATTTTTTGTAGTCCCCAAAATTCGTTAATTGTAGGCGTTGCTAAGCTAACTCTGTACAAATCAAGGTCTCCCTTTGCATTAAACTTTGAATATTTTACATTCAGAGATGCTG